CTTAGTGAAATTTTAATTCTGTATTTCTAAATTTATTCTAAATTTTATTTTATCTACACAGTGTAGTATCAACTTCATTCATTTAAAAAATAAATGACATTCACTTATTGTTCTAAGTAAAAGAACTCCTGATACAATGTGATATAAAATAAATTATTTGTAAATAATACAGGCATAACTGCGATACAGCTTTTGCACGTCAGGTATCGGACTGATTGGAATCCATCAGTGCAGCCTTAGGACTTCAAAAGCACTTTCACGGTGCTCTCAGCTGCCAATAGAACCAGTCCACAATCAAAAAGGCCCTCATCAACTCCGTCTTAAAAGGGCGCAATCATAAATATTGGCACGGCGTTTCCAGCGCAAACGTCACCGTGATAAATATTTATCTCTACCCCGCTTTCGAATCCCAACTACAGCGCTATAGTGTCAACGTACAGTTCATAGCGAGAACTCGTGGTCTGCTTTGTAAGCGTTACATTTGCCGCGTCTACGTCACATGTCTCAAGTGGCGAAGCACAATTAACTTTGCGTACTCGGGGGGGAGGAAAGGAGTTAAAAATATGCGTCTCTTCGTCACCATCGGAATGACAATCCTCATTAGAACATTTTCAAGCTTTTTATGTCTGCATGGTTCTAGCTAGGGTTTTTTTTTTTTATGGAGAAAAGGGACAAACGAGCAGGAGGCTCACCTGATGGTAAGTGATTACCGCCGCCCATGAACACCTGCAACACCCGAGGGCTCACAAATGCGTTGCCGTTACGATTTGTTTTATAACAGAATTGTTTATGTCATAGAGAGCGAAGCGAGCAGTCGGTTCGGCTGATGTTTATCGACCACCGCCAACCATGGACATCTGTGGAGTTGCAGATGCGTTGGCAACTCGTCCCGAGTATAATACAACAACGAGTATAGACTTCACCTTCACGTCGGTCTCCTGCGAAGCCATGGTACTTCCCCGGATGAACATACCCGTTCGGGAAAAAAACAGGAGCTGCTGCGAGTTCAGACACCAGACGAAACGCAAAAGTATAAATTCTTCTTTAGGGTGTAATTTCCTGGATGGAGAAGCCGGTCTATAAATGCAGCGGTAGATAGGACAAATACTCGTACTGATATTTAAATAAAGGTCGATTTGATTTCAAATATACCAAAAAATAATGAGTCTTCCCTAATGAAGAAGATAATACTGACCAGATTTCATTAGCTTTACCCGCTAAGAACAAAATAATTGTTGCAGCTAACAATTGTTATCGTTGCATATTGTTTCCTTCTTTCATATACGCATTTTATTTCGAAGTTTGGCTTAGCGAAGGAAGATTTATGGGAGTGCTTCCAAATTTCTTTGAAATTATTAATTTTCCACAGACTTCACCCCAGATTCTCAATTCGGTTTTTCGATTTGTTTGAAGCTATGCTTCTTTTGGCGCGTTTAGAAAAAATTTTTCGAGTAAAATATTTGCAATGCTCGCGCACACCGACACCGACATGATGAAATCCAAAATAAATATTTTACCTTCATTTAAAAAAGATACTCTGTTATTTATTTCTTGAAAAAGTCTCTTTCCAAATACTATTACCAAAAATGTTGTCTTACCGAATGCGGGTAACAATTCAATTTATCCATTCCAAAGGTGACTTCTCACGGCGTATTTGCGAACTGTGTGTGTCTAGCAAACAATCACCATGTGCCAAAGTTGGTATCGCCTCGTGTGCATATGTGACGAATATTAAACACAGGTCGTCGCGTGCGTGGCGGTACCTCGAGATACACCAAAAGAGCCAAATAGACAAACACGCGCGATGATTCATAAAAGAAAAAATGAGGTCCAAACGTGTGGACTATGTTATTTCCTACCAAGTTGGGATTGCAACCGCCACCTCCCAGGCCTGCTTGAAAAAAGCGAATGCCGTGCCACGATCGCATGCTGGCATCGATCGATAGCGATCGACGGGCGGCGCCATTTGGCAACGGAGTCACCACGAGCCAACAAAGCGCAACCTTCGTCTAGCGGTGAAAGTGGCACGCGACTCCAACCTGCAGCCGACTGAAACGCGATATCCCGTGTCGCATTACCGATCCGCGTTAGGGGCACGTGGAACGTCACGGCGACGAGACGTTGGCGACAGCGCAGGCCATATATGCCCGGTTCCTATATTCAACGAACGGCCGTTAGTTACATACACAGCTTCGTAACTTTCATCACGACTTGTAGATTAAAGAGATTAGTAACTCACTTCAACTAGTAACTAAAAGGGAAGCGTCCTGTTGGTCGCCCCATATAACGCTGAAAAGACGAAGTCCAAAAAGATCTGAGAGCTTTCCAATCAGCCAATTGGCAAGGAACAGCTCAGAACAGAGAGCAATGGCGTCTTTTCGTTTCGGAGGCCAAATCCTCTTTGGGTCGCTGAGCCAGCCAAGTAAGTAAGTAAGTAACTCACTTTCCGCCTCAATGCAACGGCTGGTAGAGAGCATATTCTTTCCTAAAGGGCCGGCAACGCATTTGTAAGCCCTCCGATGTTGCAAGCGTTAAGGCGCTGCGGTGATCACTTACCATCAGGTGAGCCTCCTGCTCGTTGTCCCCTTTATTCCAGAAATATCAAAAAAGGTCAGCTAGCCCGAGCTGCAGAGGGCGATAGAAGGTATCGTTCCGTACAAGTTGTTTCTCTTTCTTTCTGCTGCCCTTATCCCACCTAGGCACAACATGCGAATCACGCTGTTAAATAGTATTCGCTACGTTTTTTCTTACGGCCTGACTCACGTCAACCCTCCTTGGGAACAAACAGATAGATTCCAGATTCGAAACAATTATCTGTGTGTCATATTACATACATTAATTGCAAATGGATGAACATAAATTACTTATTTACTAATTATTGAACTCAAGACTCACACTACTTAGCACATACTCTCACTGGAGTCTACTGTAGTAAAAATTAAAACTGTGCTGATATACAGAGATTTCGAGGCATAAGTCAGTTATTTATTACATTCAGTCAGTTTTTATTAAATTCGTAGCGTATATGCCGTACATCCGTGCGTTAGAAGTTTAAAAATATAATATTTTAGGTACAAGAGCAAAACTTTTTACAGCATCTTTTAATGTTTCCAAAACGCTGTAAAGGGACCTTACGAAATAAAACCAAAATCAAACAAACTGATAGATAATATGTCAGTAGCTTACTTGAACTTGAACCTACATCCCTACTTTAAAATGCTGTTTGAATCATAAAATTAAACTTAAACCAAGTTTATTGATCTAATATTTACAAGATTAAATCTATCTAAAATTACATATTATCTAACCTGATCCACACGGCATGGTATCAAGAACGCTTAGCATTTCCTCGCTGAATAGTTATGGTTAACCTTTGAGCGAGAAAAGAACCAGCTCCCTTGTCACCAGCCGCGGCGTTAAGCCTAGGACATAAACCTTTTAAAAAATTTGATGTGCGAGGAGCCCCGGACCTAAAGTTTCAACAGCAAATGGTACAAATACATAATCTAAACATAAAGAATCATATTTGCGCCATTTGCTTACTTCAGCTGCCTCCGATGCCCCCTTAGATGAGAGGCAGCCAAAGTGTCTGCACAAGTAGCGTCCCAAACAAGAGCTTTGCCTCTCTCCCAAGGGATCAAGGTTAATCCGTCGGATCTCTTACCATCGTCGCGAAAAATGCCACAGGGCTCTAAAATAGATGGAACATTGATGGAAACAAGAGCCCTACTTACTAGCCTAGAACACATTAGCCGGTAATTAAGCAGGTATAGGGAAGGAGGTTGTGATTGTAAATCTAGATTATATTACGATCATTTTAATACAAAACAACAAGGTAAAACGTAATTTATATCCCAACAAGGTCGCCGTGTGCAACAAAATTGTAAATTAGTGTATAGCGATTAAGAAAATTCACCAGTTACTAAAATTCAGCTAACCATTTATCATACATTTTTAGCGTTATCTTTGTCAGTTATCATGGTCTCAGCTAACCGGCTGTAATAACATTAATGCAAAACATTGACGAATATTCATTAGATTAATCGGCATATTTTTAACACTGCTTTAGTTTTACACTGACACACTAACATAAAATAAAATCATTATTTCACTAAAAAAGCTTCAACTAAAAAGCTAAAAAACTTCAACATACATAAAGATCCACATGATGGACAAATGGGTAGGTTGATGGTAGAAAACTGTCAAATATAAATGTCTCGTTTTGATAATATCATACGTTCAGAGTTAAAAATTAAAATCAAAATAAATAACATTATAGGTTTCATCTTAGAGATAATTTAACCCCTACCCCCTTCGCACTATTGGACTACTAAAAACACGAAAGAAGTTCATCGAAGAACGAAAAGGTCGGCGCCGCCATAATATTTCGTTCGTAATGCGAAAACCAAAGTAGTAAACCAATTTACAGCACCATCAGTTTTCCTATCACAGCATAATGTGAACGGTGTCAAGATACGAACGGACAGGTTTTAACAATCTAATGCCTTAATCACCTAGGCCACTGCTTGCCAAGTGTGACATCAATCAGACAATAATCAGGTTGGGATTTTAAGAAAACTAATTATTTTTGATTGATTAATAATTAAAATGAATTATACTGTACACATGAAAGTGGTGCTTTTTTATGTAAGAAGGAGGCAAGCGAGCTGGAGGGTCACCTGATGCTAAGTGATAACCGCCACCCATGGACATTTGCAACACCCGCAGGGTCACCGATGCATTGCCACCTTTAAATAAAGTAGGTCCCGGCTACCTCACTCACCAGATGAAACGCAGGAGTATAACACTTCCACTTCACGCCGGTCTTTTGTAAGGTTGTCGTACTTACCCGCACGAAGCTGCCCATTCGTGCAACAGTCGAAGCTGTTGCGTGGCCCTACCGCGTTTAAAGTTTACACGTGGTGCCGACCCCACCGGGGCCGGACAAGGGCATTGGTATGACAATTAGGGGGTGTCCCCACCTGGAATGGTGTACGCACCTGGAAGCAGGGGCAGAGCGGCCAACGCCTGCGCAGCGCGTGTGGCATCTTCTTCCTGGGCGGCTCGTGCTCGGCGGCAGGCTCGCCGCACGCCCAGCGCACGAGGCGCGCGCGCGCCGCCTCCGCCGCCTCCACGCTGCGCGACCACGACGGCAGCCCCTGAAACAGAGCGGACAAGTTAATCTTTGGCGGTAAACGCTTAGCGTGATTGGAGATAAAAATAAAGTAACAAAATATGTCTCCTCCAAAAAATGGCCTCATCTGTACCTACAGAGAGTATTAGGGCATAATACACAACCCCAATGTGGTTTGACAGATATTTCGAAGATAATATGTGAAATATTATCTTCGAAATATATTTTTGTTATTATTTCGAACATTTTTTTATGCGAAAAGTTGTCAAACGAGCACACGGTTCACCTGATGTTAAGTGAATACCGCCGCCCATGGACAACTGCCACACACGAGGGTTACAGATGCGTTGACAACCTTTTGAAAATTGGGCTCCATGAACCTCACTCCCCAGACGAAACGCGAAAGTATTTGTCATACTTCTACTTTTCGCTGGTCTTCGGTGAGGTCGTGGTACTTACCCGGACGGGCCTGCCCATTCGTGCAACAGCCAAGGCTGCTGCATGGCCCTACCACCGTAAAACATATGTAAAACTATTTTAAGGATTTTACAGAGCTAGTAGTGCCCTTAAATTTTTTATCGATTAAATTATTTATGCTAAAAGAATTTGTAAAAAGGTGTTGCCAATGCTGCCACCTCATTGTCTTTTGTAAAATAAATGACAATTAATAAGGTGACTCTTACAGTAAACTCTATATATATATTACTAGCTTTTCGCCCGCGGCTTCACTCGTGTTGAACCCTTTAAATAAATATCTTTCTTTTATAAAAAAAAATCCAATGAAACAATAGCCTATGTCCTTTCTCAGGCTCTAAATTATCTGTGTACTAAAATTCATTTAAATCGGTTCAGTAGTAGTTTTGGCGTGACAGACAGACAGAGTTACTTTCACATTTATAATATTAGTATGGATTTATCATAGGTGTTCTTTGTCGGCACGCCATAACTTTCGTCAGATTTAAAGATTCAAAAACAATTTTAAATTTTATGTTTGTTACTATTGTCGAAAAACAGACACATAGAATAAAGTTATTGCCTTCACAAAAAAAACTGTCTTTTAAAAATTTCATATAATGTATATGTACGCCATCTACTTTTGATTCATATAAACATTTAATTTAAAAAGATAGAAAAGTAAAGTGAAAAACGTTATTCTTCAAACTGAGATACTTTTCTATTGTAAATACTGATATTACAATTCTTTTAACATAGTGCGCTGGATAAGTGTGCTGTGACCGACAACGGTACTGTGCGACAATTTCGCACAGGTCAACTAGTATTCATATATTTCGTTAGCATGTTTGCACAGAGATTAGATTTCAAATTTCATTTGAACCCGTCGGGAATCGTTTTCGAAGTTGAAAACGATCATATCTTTATTCATTCAATCGTGAAACCATTCAATTATTCTGCTGTAAGCCTGAAAATGCAACGCATGAAGCAAATATTTACTCCAGAAGTAATATTCCAGAAGTAATTTTATACAGCGAGATATATAGAAAACCGTTTCATAGAAGTGGCGCACGGAACAACCATACCGACAAGACATTACACCGAGATGGGGTTACTCAAACAACGGGCGCTCGCAAGGTGCAGATCTCGCGCCAGTACAGTATTTACGATTACGGGTTCGCGCACGCCTAAACAAAAGGTGCATCAACCTCGGCGTCATTGGGAACGACGCTCCTCTCGCCGAGTTCCCACGTGCAATTACGCAACCGCGAACGTACTGGTAGCGTGATCGCATACGAGAACGGTTGATTCCTGTTTGCTGTATTCTTCTACAAAGCGAACCAAACAACCAGACCCTATTACCCTCTGTACGGAGGTCTTTGCTCAGCACTGGCATATTATAGGCTATTACTTTACTTTTACACCCTATCCTACTTTTATCTGAAATCTCCCCATTCATTTGTTGCCATTATTCGTCTTCCCCTTCTCTCGTTTCAAAAAGCTTTACCCCGATTATAGTTTAAATTTTTAACGTACAATTGAAAGTGAAATAAACCATTTGGGTCGTAATGCCAATTAGTGGTCAACGCCCTACACTGTGCAACTATCAAGACCGATGTCTATTTTTAACTACGATTGATAATTCGAAAGGAAATTAATTCGAAGGGCGAATGCAAAAATTAGTCGTTGATAAAATCACTTTGTTAGTCAAGAATTTCTCAATGCTTTAGCGTTTACGGAGCGACTTCATGCATTTTTTTAATGTTTGTTACCTCAGATCTCCGAGGTTTATATATCTACGATATTGAAAATTCATTTTGCATTGCGTTCGGTTTAACTCTGATGTGGTCCGATATTGATTTTATTGGAAGTTGACCTTGGACTCCGGAGACAGAACGGGGAACTCCGCAAAATCAAATAAGAAATGTATAGTATATGAGCTATTTGAAGTCGATTTTATAATTTGTGCATTAAAAGTAATTTCATAATTTTATATAAAAAACAATATAGCTGACCCGGCAAACGTTGTTTGTTTTTTTTTTTTTTTTTTATTTATAAGTTGTTGTCAGATTTAAGACATGTGTACTGAACAAAGTCTGTCGAGTCCGCTAGTATATATACATATATATATCTATATATATAAAATTTCATAAAAATCGATCAAGTTCTTTCGGAAGAGTATGGCAACTAACACGATACCGTGTGACGCTGCAATTAATGTCATCACTTTATTAGTATGCCAAACTTTAACGCGTTTATAATGAATACGTATTCATTATTAACGCGTTTCACCTATTGTCGTTTCATTCATCCGTGACAACAACCACTAGGAACATGACTATTCTTTGCCAAAAAATTTAAGAAATTTTTATTACATCCGTCTCCCGTCAAGACGATGTCATTTTTAATTTTCTTCAATATATACACCAGCGGCATTTCACGTCATCACGTCGCGTTGTCAAGAACTGATAAGCAGATTACTCGCTGCGCTGACAATGCGGTTATCTTTTTAACTGTCGTCGTCGCAACAACGCGTCATTGTAATTGACTGTTGCGCAATGAGATCGCCCTGCAAGAGGCGGCTGACACGGTAAGCGTGAACAGCGCACAAAAGGCAAGCGCTTTCCAAAGAAAGGGCCCATTGTCTCTTTGTGTGGGTGATGTTGTTTTGATAAGAGGAAAAAGTCGATCGAATCAAAGAAAATTCCTCAACGCGAACGAGGAGCTGGTGGAGAAATAAAAGTAACACAAAAATTATTTGTCGTTAGGGGGGCCTTCACATTACGGACCATCGACGAAAGAAAAACTTTGTATTATGATAATAATACGGTGAACGGAATCAAATTACTGTTCTCTTTAATAACAGTGTCGACTATCGCCTTAAAATATAAATTCATCGCGAATAAACCCGGTCACAAATTAGAGTTGACCATTAGAATTACAGCATGTATTGATCATCACTCAAAATTAACTCGTCATTAAATAACTGAGCTCTAAATAAAAGCTACAAATGTACAAAGCAGCTGCGATGGACAGGTGGGATAGTTCAGTGATCGACTTTCAATCAACCGGTATTGCATGACGCAAGACGCCGAGCAGGAAATGATGGAACATGAGGCTCTAATCGCCTCGGACGACTTTTTGCATCAAACAAACTTGTACGACAAGGCGACGGTGACGCTACGCCTTCTCAGACAATGTTAGCTTTTACACGAGGTACTGTCATATATCTCTTTGTCAAACTTCCTATAAACGTCTAAATGGTACAAAACTGTCGAACTTCTTCCTAAACGCCTCGCGGGTATACAATTTATCTTAGTCTTCTAGAGTCTTTCGAGTCTTCGTGACTAATGGACGATCCTTAAGATGTACTACATCCATCAGACCTCCCGCAAAAATTAGTGACAGGGCTTCATCTCATTTTTTTTTTATGGGAAAAAGAGGCAAACAACAATTTCGTCTGTTGCACGAATGGACAGGTCCGTCCGGGTAAGTACCACGACCTCACAGAAGACTGGCGAGCAGTGGAAGTGTTATACTTCTGCGTTTCGTCTGGTAAGTGGGTAGCCGGGGCACACTTTTTTAAAAGGTGGCAACGCATCTGCAACCCTACGGGTGTTGCAAATGTCAATGGGCGGCGATTATCACTTAACATCAGGTGAACCGCCAGCTCGTTTGCCGCCTTCTCACATAAAAAAAAACAAAAGCTATAAAAGCGAGTGTCGATATAAAAAGGACGTAGACGATCGCGCTCCGCGAAACGCAAACGGATAATCGTCGATCGGCCGGCAGACTAGCGTGAGCGGACGGATGCGTACGCCGGGTAATTGGCGAATTACAATCGCAAATGTCGGTTCCTAGTTCGCTTTTTGCGGGCCCCGTGCGCTCGCGCACACAACATGGTCGGTCACGCGGCCATTGGCAGCGCACGCTGCGAGTTCGGACGCAGCGTGCTTTCTCCAAACAACTCGCTCGTCACGCTTTATTTGGCGTTAAATATCGACGCGACTGCGACGCAGAACGGTCAATTCTACGCTGGTAATGTAGCACAAGTTCAAATTCAGCAGAGTAAATGGGGCACCTGTAAAATTATTTCCTTCGTGTTTTATGTTCACATGAGGAACCGCGAAACAGTTGTTGTATGAATTGCGAATGCGGAAGCCGCTCAGAAGAAAAGGCGTAGAGTATGACGTCTTTTGAATGCTCTTGGGCGAGGTAATCACTTAACGTCGGGTGAACCACCTGTTAGATATACGCAATTTGCCATAATAAAAAATCTTTTGCAATACTTTAAAAAAAAGACTGCAGTAAAGAAACATTATCATAAAAACTTCAAAACAAGCAATCGCTGTTGTCATTAGAATTGACAAATCTCTATCAATTGCTCGCATATTGCACACACGCAATTCTTAAAAATACATAATATCATTAAAGCATTTATCGTTCTTTAAGCCACCATTTCCATATAAAAAGAGCGGTTTGAACTCAATCGTTATCATTATTACCGCAAAAATTTGCATTCGTTTCGTCAGAACGCATACAACGTTATTGTTACACAAACGATTACCCCAC